AGCTCCCGACTCCTGGTTTTGGTCTGCCCCAGCTCCAGCCATTGCAGCCATTTGGGGAGTGAGCTCAGGACTGGAAGATCTGTCTGTCCTGTTTTTATAAATTTACCACTCAAATATAAATAAATACATCTTTTATTATTATTTTTGTTTTTTCAGATCTTCAGTTTTGTTTTGTGTGGTGTTTTCACTTGATTAAACTGAACTGTACTTTTGGCAAGATTATGTCAGAAATATGAGTCTACATGATTACAGTTGCTGTTGACCATGACCTCTTAATTCATGCTGTTTTCCTCATGATTCTGCAGTGTAATACAACCTCTGCCCTACAGTCAATTTGTGGGAGCAACTTTACATCTATGAGAGTTCTTTCCTCTGTAAACGTTGAATTGTTGGTGTGTATATCAGTGAATTTCATCTGCAACAATTAGTGCTTCCTACTAATGATTTTTGTTTTCCCTCTTTGCTTTTACATGTATTCATTGAAATTCTGTTGTAAGAAAGAGTTCTCCTATCTCCCACATCTGGTTTGTTCAGTTGGGGTGTTTGTATCAGCGTGAACTATTGGATGCTTACTTTGTTATAATTTAACATCGCTACTTACTTTGCTCAAATCATTTCCAGTTTTGCCATTAGGAGCTACTTCAGATTTGCTCCTGTATTCTTTCATCGAATTCAAGGAATTCCTCCCTCTCTCCCTCCTTCCCTCCCTCCCTTTTTTCCTTCCTTCCTTCATTCCTTCCTTCCTTCCTTCCTGGAATTGATGTGACACAGTCTTTGAAAGATGAGCCCCATATTGCTGTTAACCAGCAGTGGTTTTGATCAGGAAGCAATAAGTGGTCCAAGTACAGAAGTCAGGATGTGATTGTTCTTTTTTTTTTTTTAAAGATTTATTTTATTTTTATTGGAAAGGTGGATATACAGAGAGGAGAGACAGAGAGGAAGATCTTCCGTCCGATGATTCACTCCCCAAGTGACCGCAACGGCTGATGTTATGCCAATCTGAAGCCAGGAGCCTCTTCCGGGTCTCCCGCATGGGTGCAGGATCCCAAAGCTTTGGGCTGTCCTCCACTGCTTTCCTGGGCCACAGGCAGGGAGCTGGATGGGAAGAGGGGCTGCCTGGATTAGAACAGGCACCCATATGGGATCCTGGGCATGCAAGGCGAGGACCTTAACCACTACACCATCGCGCCGGGCCCAGGATATGATTATTCTAAAAGCACACAGTTTTGTGGTCTTGGACTGTTTGATGAATTTTGGACCCTGGCCCACAGGCCTCACCTTGGTCTTGGACTTCTGTGCAGTTGCAGACCAGTGCCTGAAGTTTAACCTTGGCTTCCAACACCAGCAGTCTGAACTCCAGATTTCAGGCAGTCTGTCCTGTTCTTCCTTATCAAGTCATGCTCTTTGTTTTCTTTGAAAGCAGAGTTATAATGATAGGTGGAGAGAGAGAGATTTTCCATCTGCTCTTTGGCTCCCCAGATGGCCACAGGAGCTGTAGCTTTATTTGGTCTCACATGTGGGTATAGGGACCATAGACTTCAGTCATCTGCCATTGTTTTTCCAGGAGCGTTAGCTAATAGCTGCTTGGAAGTTCAGTAGCTATGATTTGATGGCACCTTGTGACATTATAATGTCAGCATCCTAAATCATAATGGCAGACTCCACACAGGATCTTTAATATGTCAACGCTATCAGTACTTACTTTTTTTAAATTAGTATTTTTGATGATCTTTATAGTTGATTACGGTGATTAGGGACAAGGGCTACAGGAAGGTGGGTGAGATCTCTATTTACACATCTCTTCTTTTCCTTCCTGTATCTGGGGAAGGGGTGGAGACAAGGAGAGAAGCCATACCCAGCCTCTGAATTGCCTCTGTACCCCAGGATGGAGAGCAGCCATCCAATACCACCCAGGCTGTCGATGTGGGCCATACTCTGAGGTGTCCATTGTGGAGAATGCTCTGAGGGTCCGGCTCATGAGGTTTCAATAGTTCAACAGTTTAGAATTGCTGCTGATTTCGCCACTCCAAGCACAATGGCATCTCTCCAGGATCGAGTGGTTGACATAGTCCACCTTAGCATCTCCGTTTGCCCAGGAGACTCACTGCCAGCACTTGTTTGCAGTAGTTGATCAATTTGTTCTGTCCTCCATTCTTTATTGTGGTACTAGGTGTCCTCTGCAGGTTCTGATGGACTGCCTCCGTCTGAGCCTCTGAGGAGACTCGGCTCTGACACTTGCACTCCATGGCAGATCATGGAACTTGCACTTCTCTCTACGGTTGGGGTTCTGAGTTCAGCAATTCATTTGGGGGGATTCCTCAAAAAAACCTCATCTGAGGTGATCTCAGACCTGATTCTTGTGTGTGCTTCCCAGTCTGACACAGTCTGTCACCCCAGTCAGCTTATGTACATGCAGGTGGTTGCAATTGCTGGGTCAATTCTGTCTCCAGTTCAGTCTTTTACCCAAATGAATGGATGTTGTTGCCCAGCCTGATCCTGCGTTCCACACACTCAGCCTTCTTGTACACTAGTGGGAGCTGCAGCCTAGTTGGAATGATCCATAATAACCCCCCACAAGACCCTCCCCCTGCCCTGGTTCCCAGCAGACTGGTCCTGTATGTCCCACATCCCATCAGCTCTTCTACGTGTCACTGGGCATTGAAGCCTAGTTCAACCCATGTACCAGCAGGTGCCATTCTCTGTCTAGCCATGCCTGCCCCAGTCCTGGTTCTCATGCGCGCCATTGGGAATGGCAACCCAAGAGGGAGGTGCCCACTATTTCCTGCTTGTACCATACCAAGATCTTGCACTTTTCAGGTGGTTCTAGAGTTTAACTTTGGCACTTAATTTTTAAAATAGAGATGACTTGAGGTTTTGCTTTTAGATTTTAATGAATTTAAGCTCTCATGGAAAAGAAGAACTTTTTTTTTTAAATACATTGGAAAGCAGTTATATATAGAGAGAAAGCTCTTCATCTACTGGTTTATTCTCCTAATGACTGCAACAGTTGGAGTTAGGCAGACTGAAATCAGGAACTTTTCCCCAGCCTTCCGTTTGCATGCAGTGTCCAGAGACTTGAACTATCCTCTGCTGCTTTCCCAGGCCATTTGTAGAGAGCTGGATCAGAGTGGAGCAGCTGGAACTCAAACCGGCGCCCATATGGGATCAGCACTTCAGGTGGAAGCATTGCCTGATATGCCATCACACTGGCCCCAAGGAGTTTACTTTTTAATGTCTTGATGGGAAGTTGATGAATTAAACTTACGTTTGTCTTTATAACAAATGACAGTATGGTAATCAGCCAGGTTGTTAATATAATTTAAAAATTTTATATATATTGGAAAGGCAGATTTTTAAAACAGATATGTTTATTTTGGGGGAGGAGAAGAGAAATCCCAGACCCTATGGAATTATATGATAAGATTCAAAATGAAAAAAAATTTTAAAAAGAAACTGAAAAAAAGATATTACTAGAAGAGAGGCGTTAATTGGCTCTAAATGTAGTAAATAAGAGAACGAAATAATTGCCTGACTCATTTATACTATCTACACTTGCTGAAAATTGTGCTTTGTCCCATAAAATGAGAAGTGTTACATGTTAATAAAATTCTAAAAAAAAGAAAAGATTTTTTTTTAATTGGAAAGGCTGATATATAGAGAAGGAAATATATAGAGAAAGAAAGCTCTTCCATCTGCTGATTCATTACCCAAGTGGCCTTAATGGCCAGAGCTGAGCTGATCCCAAGCCAGCAGCTTCTTCTGGATTTCCTATGTTTGTGCAGGGGCCTAAGACTGGTCGATCCTCAACTGTTTTCCCAGGCAACAAGTTGGATAGGAAATGGACAGCCAAGAAATGAACCGGTGCCCATAAGGGATCCTGGCATGTACAAGGCGAGAGGGCTTTAGCTACTAGGCTGTTGGGTTGGCCTCAGAAAGACAGATATTTTCAGAGAGAAGGAAAGAAAGAACCTACGTTTGCTGGTTCACTCCCCAAATGACTGCAGAGTTGAGCCCATCTAACCAGGAGACAGAAGCTTCTTTTGTGCTTGGGCTGACTTTTGCTGCGTTCCCTGGACATAAACCAGCGCCCATCTGGATGTTAGTATTTGCAGTTGAGCCATTGTGTCGCCTACCACTGCCCCCACCCCCAGATGTTAATATTGTTATTGTGCACACTTGGACATCCGTGGCGCATAGATCCCAGTGCAGGCTGTGTGTGTTCTAGAAGCAGGCAGCTGCTGCTGCTACTATGAATATGAAAGGCGAGCGCTTTTTTTTTTTGCCTCCAGCTCCATCCAGTCTCATCACAGCTTCTCTGCTTAGCAGCCCTTTGGGGGTTACTGAAGGAATTGGAGTTATTAGAGTGTCCTGCCTCCTGGGCAGCACTGCCATGGCGATCCTGTGGACATGCAGTGCTGCTCATTGTAGACAGGTGATTGCTGACATGTGTCACATGGCATCACCTGGTAATACTGGCACGGAGTACTGCATCTTCTGTTTAGTGCAGTTCTTACATCTGTAAAGGGGGGGAAATGCATGCTAAACAAAAGCTGTTGATATTGCAGTGAAATATTAATGCAGTTTAGCTTTAACAGGTAAACTTAAGGTCTTTCTAATGCAGTAGAAATAAAAGACCCATCTTTTTTTTAACACTTTGGAAAGACTTCAGAATGAATTTATCAGACAGTGTTTTCATTATGGTTTCATCCCCCCTTCATTTCTAGTTTTTTAATATCTTATATGCCATAGTCCTGCGTAAAGTGTATCTTAGTAATTTAATTATTATTAGTTTATTACTTAGATAAAAGCAGTTAAGTTACAGAGCTGTATATGGAAACATGCTTGAGATAAAAAATGGAATGGATATTGGCATCTAGAATTCTGGGATGTGTTAAATGTTGCATGGGTTTAGTATAGAGCTTCCTCCACTACTCCCCCTCAGTAATATTGTGATTTACAAAGCCATTGAGGGCATTGCTAATGTCTCTTTTTTCCCCCAGAGGGAAGTGCAACATCTCCCACTTTTCTGACATCTTTGCTGCGAGAGAGTTTAAAGCTCGAGTGGATTCGTTCTTCTACATCCTGGGCTACAACCCTGAGACCAGGTGAGTGAGTTGCTTGTCCCCCAGGGTTGCAGTAGTCTTCCTGTTCTCCTGTATCTGAATGGTGGTTGCATGTGTCAGCATGCGTTTACACATCTGGGCGTGATCCACAGCACTGTGGAAAGATTCTAAACTCCTGTAGTTACCCTCCCCAGGCAGAGTGGGGACTGAAGAAGTCCGATTGTTGCTCACTGTTTACTTGAGGAACAGAAAGTGTGGCTGTTGGTGTCTGCAGAGGCTGGATGGAGACATGATCTCAGACAGTTTTTTTTTTTTAAGATTTATTTTATTTTTATTGGAAGCATGGATATACAGAGAGGAGAGACAGAGAGGAAGATCTTCCGTCCGATGATTCATTCCCCAAGTGAGCCCAATGGCCGATGCTATGCCAATCTGAAGCCAGGAGCCTCTTCCGGGTCTCCCATGCGGGTGCAGGGTCCCAAAGCCTTGGGCCGTCCTTACTGCTTTCCCGGGCCACAGGCAGGGAGCTGGATGGGAAGCGGAGCTGCCGGGATTAGAACGGGCGCCCATATGGGATCCCGGGCGTGCAAGGCGAGGACCTTAATCACTGCACCATCGTGCCGGGCCTGATCTCAGACAGTTTGTGTTTTTAACTTGTGAAAGACTGTGATCCACATTCTGTGGATCATGTTGAAAACTCTAGGTCATTTAGGGGAGTCTGCTGAATATTCATTTTTTTGTTGTTTATTCTTGATAATAAAACCCCAGGAATGCTTACTGAAACATCTTACAGAAGACTTGTGGTTTGAGGTGAACATATGCAGTTCTCAACTATCCTAGTAAGATCCATGTTTAAAAAAATTTGTTATTACTTGAATTTTTTTTTAATTAAAATTTTCGTGTTATTTGAAAGATACAGAAACATAGAGATCCTTCATCCACTGGCTTAAACCCCAAAATGTCTGCAATATTTGGGGCTGGGCCAGGCTGAAACCAGGAGCCCACTGCTCGTTTCAGCTCTCCAGTTTGGGCGGAAGGAATTCAAGTGCTTTGGGCCATCTGCTGCCTCCTGTGATGTGCCAGGGTTGCTGTGGTCAGGTGCTGGAGTCGGGACTCCAGCCCTGGCACTCAGACGTGGAAAATGGGCATTCCAAGCAGCCTCTTAACTGCTGTAGCTCTTTCTGAGTGTAATTCTAGTTGGTTCCTTTCTGTAACTTTAAAGGTGTTCTTGAAAGGGTCAGTGTGGTGGTGTGGAAGGTTAAGACCTTCACTGTGGCCTCAGCATCCCACATGGATGCTGGTCAAGTTCCTGCTGCTCTGCCTCCGCTCCAACAGAAGATGGCCCAAGTGCTAGGGCCTCTGTACTTACAAAGGAGACTGGAAAAGGCGCCTGGCTTGGGCCTGGCCCAGGTGCAGTGGTTGTAGCCATTTGGGGAGTGAATCAATAGATGGAAGATTGTCCAAGTCTATGTTTGAAATAAATTTTTTTTCTTAATGTTTTTGCAAGACAGAATTTTCTCATTCACTGGTTTCCTCCCCAGCTTCTCCCTGCAGCTGTAGTCAGGCTGAAGCTGTATACCCAGGCACTTTCCTCGGTCTCTCAGGTGGTTGACAAGGATTCCGCTGTTTGAACCATCACTAGCTGCTTCCTAAGGTGCACACTAGAGAATCTGGAGTTGGAAGCAGAGCCTGCACTCGAGTCGAACTCCACCATTTTCCTAGGCTGTAAGCAGGGAGCTGGGTCAGAGTGGAGCTGCTTACCCATATAGGATTCTGGTGCCATAGGCAAAGTTCAGCTCACTATGACACAGTACCAGCCCTAAATGTCAGGATTTCAGAAGTAAAAGATATTTGGCTCAAAGAATCTAGTATAAGAGCTATATCCATGTGTCTGTGAAGTAGGTCAAACTTTTTTCCCTAGAATTCAATGAGTGACTGTAGGTTACATGTAGAATGCTTTGGAATCGCTAACTAAAAGTTGCTACACAGGAGCATGAGTTGTGGCAATTGTATGAGGTTGCACATAGCTCTGTTGGGCATCTCTTCTTTCTTCTTTGTGTAGATGCTACATGCTAGGCAACAGCTGTAGAGAAAGTGGTATGATGCCCTTTGATTTTTTTCAAAGAACAGAGAAAACTTTTCTTTTATTATGCCATGCCTCAGTGATAAACTGGTCTTGGTAATATTTCCCAGGTGGCTTCTATTGTTAATTGTTCATTTTACATGTAAGTACTTGACAGCTCCTCAAAAGTTTGTATTGCTCAGGTAACATGGAACACTTGTGTTGAGATACACAGGAATGGGATATTATTTCAGTGATTCCATGTTTATCGAACTTCTTGATAAATAGCTGTATCATATTGCCCAAGTTACATTGTATCAGTGAATTAAAGGAGAAAGAGAGAGGGAAAGACACAGAGAGATAGACAGACTGGTAGAAAGAGCTCTCATATGCCAGTTGATTCTTCAGATCCCTGTGCCAGTGGCCCTGCTGGGGCTGGAGCCAGGACGCTAGTTCTCCATGCAATCGTAAGGGCCATTGCCACTGCCTCCCAGGGACTGTGTTAGTGAGCAGTTGTGATAAGAACTGGAGCCTGGATCTGACCCAGGTGCTGACTGGGACATAATGTCCTTACCAGCCTCTTAGCCACTGGGCCAGTAGGTGCCACTGGTGCCCCTGCTACCACCTGTCTTAAATGTTCAGCTCTCAGGTTCATAACAGTGAAGCAATTTTATTTCTTACTAGTCTTAATTATACATTTGTTTTTGCTGAGTACTTGTTAAAAATACATAACTTGCTTCTGTGAGGGACACATGTGAGTTCCTGTCTCATTTTTTATTGCATGTTTTTGGCAGTCAACACAATTCTTGTTATTTTTTTTTATGCTGAGTAGGTGTATATTAGAAAGATATTGTTGGCCTCTCTTTTAATGAGGAGAAACACAAAAGTGTAAGGACACACAGCATGTTTACACAACCTGCCTTCTGCATTCTGACCCTGTGATTCCTCTGACTTTCCCAGTTGTCAGGTGTCTGCCTCCACACTGGTCTTCCTGGGTCCACACTCCACACTGTGCTTGGTGTATTTGAAGTGTGTTAGGGGTTGGGTGAATTGAGTTGAACAAATACTTTTTTTTAAAGATTTATTTGTTTTTATTGCAAAGTCATATATACAGAGAGGAGGAGAGAGAGGAAGATCTTCCCTCTGATGATTCACCCCCACTGGTGCTGTGCCAATTCAAAGCCAGGAGCCGGGAGCTCTTCCACAGCTCCCACGTAGGTGCAGGATCCCAAGACTTTGGGCCATCCTCGACTGCTTTCCCAGGCCACAAGCAGGAGGCTGGATGGGAAGTGGAGCTGCCAGAATTAGAACCGGCGCCCATATGGGATCCCGGCACATTCCAGTTGAGGACTTTAGCCGCTAGGCCATGGCGCCAGGCCCTGAACAAATACTTTAATATCTGTTTATATGTACAGCTTGAAGCAGATCTCAATCTTAGTTCAGTGCAGATATGCCTGTAAAAGTTGCGGCTGTGGGTCAGTTGCCGTGGTGACCTGTTCTCCTGGTCAGCTATAGGACAGTCACCTTGGTGTGCTTGTTTCCCGGTCAGCTATGGAGCAGTCGTCTTGATATGCTTGTCTCCCATCCAGCTGTGGGGCAGTAGCCTTGCTGTGCTGGTCTCCCGTCGAGCTGTGGGCAGTTGCCTTGCTGTGCTGGTCTGCCATCAGCTGTGGTGCAGTCACCATGGTGTGCTGACCCCTGAATGTTCAGCTCCTTTGTATCTGTGAAGCTAAGGCATTGGTGTGTCATTAGACAGTTGTCTAATGTAGCATGGAGAAGCAGTTGACATCTTCTCCACCTGCCTTATGCACAGCCTGAGTTTGAGAATGAACAGATGCACATGCCCGCAGAATCAGCTCTGTTTATGGCCATGCTTCAAGACTGCGGGAATGAGGCTGTTTCATGGGTTGGTTTCTGGGATTCCCCGCCCCCCAGCCCCGCACATTACAATGAACACTTGTATGGGAGTGTCCATGGCATTGTGTGACAGGTGAAAGTGAGTTACATGGGGAGGAAATGTTTGGAGTGTGCACTGGTGAGTTGCGGCTGTGCATGTTGTCACAAGCCACTGGAAGTTGAGGAAGAATGACCCTGGGACCACAGTCCTTGCCGGCTGTTACTGTGCCTTGAATCATGCGGGAGCGGTAGGTTAGCATTGAAACTGAGCCTGATGGGATTCTTTATTTCTCAGTCATCTTTTTTTTTGTTTTAAGATTTTTATTATTTTTTAATTTTGTTGGAAAGTAAGATATGCAAAGAGAAGGACAGAAAGAAAGATCTTCTGTTCCCTCCCCAAGTGGCTGCAACGGTGATAGCTGATCCAACTAGGAGCCAGGATTTCTTCCGCATCTTCTGCATGGGTGCAGGGTCCCAAGGCTTTGGGCCGTCCGCGACTGCTTTCCCAGGCCTCAAGCAGGGAGCTGGATGGGAAGTGGAGCAATGCCCATATGTGATCTGGGTGCATTCAAGGCAAGGCTTTAGCCACTAGGCTATCACACCAGGCTCCCTAAGGGAGAATTCTGAGATCACTTTGTGATCCCACCCACACCATCGTCTTTGTAACTTTGTAGCAGCATTGAGACTTCAGTAGTCTGCTCATGTTTGTAGTTAACAGCTATTACAGGCTTGGCTGTTTCCTTTCTCAGACCACAGTGGAAGCAGTCATGACAGTAATAACAGCTAGTGCTTATGTTGTAGTTGGAGCACGATGCGTCATTTACAGCTTAAGACACCTAAGTGTCTTATTTGCAAATTTTATTTGGTTCTGAATCAGTTATAAACTGGCAGGTAGGTTGCAAGTTTACTACAGCTTAAACGGAGTGGCTTGGAGCCGTGTTCTTACCAGGAGGCTGTGAAAGCTGCAGCAACAGGTGCGTTTCTTATGCGCAGGACAGGGTCTTCCATACCCACGGGGCAGCCCTCCACTCAGACGTTAGCAATATGACTTTGAGGGTGGTATTCTCAGACAGGGCTCAGAGTT